GTGGTATCTACATCTGTAGAACGTGAAGAACCAGTGGCATCTACATCTGCAGAACGTGAAGAACCAGTGGCATCTACATCTGCAGAACGTGAAGAACCAGTGGTATCTACATCTGCAGAACGTGAAAAACCAGTGGCATCTACACCTGCAGAACGTGAAGAACCAGTGGCATCTACACCTGCAGAACGTGAAGAACCAGTGGCATCTACATCTGCAGAGCGTGAAGAACCAGTGGCATCTACACCTGCAGAACGTGAAGAACCAGTGGCATCTACACCTGCAGAATGTGAAGAACCAGTGGCATCTACATCTGTAGAACGTGAAGAACCAGTGGCATCTACATCTGCAGAACGTGAAGAACTAGTGGTATCTACATCTGCAGAACGTGAAGAACCAGTGGTATCTACATCTGCAGAACGTGAAGAATCAGTGGCATCTACATCTGCAGAACGTGAAGAATCAGTGGCATCTACATCTGCAGAGCGAGAAGAACCAGTGACATCTACATCTACAGAACGTGAAGAACCAGTGGCATCTACACCTGTAGAACGTGAAGAACCTGTGGCATCTACATCTGCAGAACGTGAAGAACCAGTGGCATCTACATCTGCAGAACATGAAGAACCAGTGGCATCTACATCTGCAGAACGTGAAGAACCAGTGGTATCTACATCTGTAGAACGTGAAGAATCAGTGGCATCTACATCTGCGGAGCGAGAAAAACCAGTGGCATCTACACCTGCAGAACATAAAGAACCAGTGGCATCTACAGCTGTAGAACGTGAAGAACCAGTGGTATCTACATCTGTAGAACGTGAAGAACCAGTGGCATCTACATCTGCAGAACGTGAAGAACCAGTGGCATCTACATCTGCAGAACGTGAAGAATCAGTGGTATCTACATCTGCAGAACGTGAAGAACCAGTGGCATCTACATCTACAGAACGTGAAGAACCAGTGGCATCTACATCTGCAGAACGCGAAGAACCAGTGGCATCTACATCTGCAGAGCGAGAAGAACCAGTGGCATCTACATCTGCAGAACGTGAAGAACCAGTGGCATCTACATCTGCAGAACGTGAAGAACCAGTGGCATCTACATCTGCAGAACGTGAAGAACCAGTGGCATCTACATCTGCAGAACATGAAGAACCAGTGGCATCTACATCTGCAGAACGTGAAGAACCAGTGGTATCTACATCTGTAGAACGTGAAGAATCAGTGGCATCTACATCTGCGGAGCGAGAAAAACCAGTGACATCTACATCTGTAGAACGTGAAGAATCAGTGGCATCTACATCTGCAGAGCCAGAAGAACCAGTGGCATCTACATCTGTAGAACGTGAAGAATCAGTGGCATCTACATCTGCAGAACATAAAGAACCAGTGGCAACTACAGCTGTAGAACGTGAAGAACCAGTGGCATCTACATCTGCAGAGCGAGAAGAACCAGTGGCATCTACATCTGTAGAACGTGAAGAATCAGTGGCATCTACATCTGCAGAGCGAGAAGAACCAGTGGCATCTACATCTGCAGAACGTGAAGAACCAGTGGCATCTACACCTGCAGAACATGAAGAACCCGTGGCATCTACATCTGCAGAACGTGAAGAATCAGTGGCATCTACATCTGCAGAACGTGAAGAACCAGTGGCATCTACATCTACAGAACGTGAAGAACCAGTGGCATCTACATCTGCAGAGCGTGAAGAACCAGTGGCATCTACATCTGCAGAACGTGAAGAACCAGTGGCATCTACATCTGCAGAGCGTGAAGAACCAGTGGCATCTACACCTGCAGAACGTGAAGAACCAGTGGCAACTACACCTGCAGAATGTGAAGAACCAGTGGCATCTACATCTGTAGAACGTGAAGAACCAGTGGCATCTACATCTGCAGAACGTGAAGAACTAGTGGTATCTACATCTGCAGAACGTGAAGAACCAGTGGTATCTACATCTGCAGAACGTGAAGAATCAGTGGCATCTACATCTGCAGAACGTGAAGAATCAGTGGCATCTACATCTGCAGAGCGAGAAGAACCAGTAGCATCTACATCTACAGAACGTGAAGAACCAGTGGCATCTACACCTGTAGAACGTGAAGAACCTGTGGCATCTACATCTGCAGAACGTGAAGAACCAGTGGCATCTACATCTGCAGAACATGAAGAACCAGTGGCATCTACATCTGCAGAACGTGAAGAACCAGTGGTATCTACATCTGTAGAACGTGAAGAATCAGTGGCATCTACATCTGCGGAGCGAGAAAAACCAGTGGCATCTACACCTGCAGAACATAAAGAACCAGTGGCATCTACAGCTGTAGAACGTGAAGAACCAGTGGTATCTACATCTGTAGAATGTGAAGAACCAGTGGCATCTACATCTGCAGAACGTGAAGAACCAGTGGCATCTACATCTGCAGAACGTGAAGAATCAGTGGTATCTACATCTGCAGAACGTGAAGAACCAGTGGCATCTACATCTGCGGAGCGAG